TTTGTATGTGGGCTGGGGAGACAGATGGCTCCATCCAAGTTGCTGAAAACCCAGCTGGTTATGGCTGCACGAGAATGACCTGAGTGTGGGGCCTGAGCTTTCCCTGCCAGAGCCTTGGGCAAGTTGGGAAATCTGTCCGTCTTTGAACTAGAGCACAGACAGATGAGGTCAGCATCGCACGCATCCCTCCCTGTTCTGTGAGCTATGGGAAGTACAGGAACCGTGACATCAAGCACATTACACCCAGCACCTGGAGCCCTTACATCCCCCCCCCCCTTTTTTTAATCAGGCAGCTTAAATATTAAGGGTAATAAAACAAACCAACAACAGTCAACCTCCTTTGTCTCCCACTTTTTAAACCAAACCTGCACCACCACCCCACTCCAGGTAATGATGAAATAGACTTTCATAAAAAATTCAGAAATAATTCCATGTTTACTGAGCACCTACTTTATTCCAGGAATCACGCTAGGTGCTGGAAATATAAAATTGAATAATGTGTGGCCTCTATGATCAGAGAACTCACAGTCCAGTTGGAAAATACATTTGTTTTATATATATATATATATATATATAGAGAGAGAGAGAGAGAGAGAGAGAGAATAGGTGTAAGTGCTATAATAGAACAGAGTGGCATGGGGACCCAAGAAGGGATCAATTATTTTCCCTGGAGAACAGCAGGACCCAGCCCTGGTGAGGCGATAATTGAAGGAAAGTCAGGCTTCGCCTGGGGCAGAGGTGGGAAGGACAGTTACACCGTGAAGTATGGAGGCCTGTAGAGGACACTGCTGGCTGTTACCCACTGTGAAGTCCCCAGCTCTCTCTGCCTCGCCTCCATTTATTCAGGCATCTACCTCTGTTCACATGATTCTGGGGAGTCCACCTCATCCCGGCTCTGGGGGCAGATCCCAGGGAGGCTACAATAATCCTGGCAGTCGCACTCCTGTGAAGGTTGCGTTTAGAAATGTGTAAATAAAAAAATTCTGGCTCTGTCCAGTGTGGCTCAGTTGGTTGGAGCGTCATCCTGTACACCTGAGTTCAATTCCCGATCGGGGCACACACCCAGGTTGCAGGTTTGATTCTTAGCTGGGGTGCATACAGGAGGGAACGGATGTTTCTCTCTCACATTGATGTTTCTCTTCTCTTCTCTTCTCTTCTCTTCTCTTCTCTTCTCTTCTCTTCTCTTCTCTTCTCTTCTCTTCTCTTCTCTTCTCTTCTCCTCTTCTCTCTCTCTCTCTTTTCCTTCCTTCCTTCCTTCCTTCCTTCCTTCCTTCCTTCCTTCCTTCCTTCCTTTTCTTCTTTCCTTCTTCCCTCCCTCCCTTCCTCCCTCCCTCCCTCCCTCCCTCCCTCCCTCCCTCTCCCTTCCCCTTTCTCTAAAAGAAAAAGAAAAAATTTCTGACCAATGAAATGTGAAGTCTCTGTGGGGTATCTAGCAAACCTTCCTCCCTCCTAAGAAAGCAACAAATGAAGACACGGCTTCTCTTTCTCCCCATAGATGCCTTGTCTCCTCTAAGCAAGGGGGAGAGTTCTCAGCAGGGGAGATATGGTTTGACTGTGGGGTGTAAGTGTAGCTAGAGCAGGAAGCCTCACTGGGAGGTGGCGGAATATCTACAGAAGGGTCTTAGATGAATCAGAGGCCCTGCTCCCCAAAATAGGTGGTGGGTTACTCCTGCAGCCATGGCCATGACCCTGTGACAACAATGCATCTTGATTCAAGGTGATCTCCTGCTGGGGTATAGAAAATAGCGCAACCAGGTGAGGCGATGCAGCTCTAAAAATGGAGGCGGGTCCTTTTTAGCAAAGAATCTGCCTAAATGACGCCCTCCATGGGAACCCTGAAGCTGTGCGCTAGCCTCTCAACCACCCCTAGGGCAATCGCTCACCACTGAAAACATGTGTAAGGTGCTTACAACAGTATCTCAAACATGGCAAGTGCTTAGTCCGTGTTAGCAACCAGCATTATCACAGAGAGCAAAGGGTCCTGTCTGGTGCCAGAGATAGCAGAATAATCTATAAAAGCAATGCAGGGGGTCTGTCTCCTCTTCTCCGCCCCTGGGGGGGGGGGGGTTGGTTAGTCTATTTGCATTGTTATTTCATTTATAACATTTATCTTCTCGAAAGTTTTTCCTTGTAATGTGGGGCCCAGCGGAGCAGTGACGCCGGCAGGGCCCTGGCTGCAGGCTGCATTTGGCCGCCCTGGTCCAAATCTTCAAATTTAGGTTGCTGATCCCACAAGTGTGAACCTCTTGGCTCCGTGTCTGGGCCTCTCTGCTTTCAGTTAGACAGGAAACCAGGGCCGGGCAAACCTCCAAGGTTTCAGATGGGCCTTCTGTTCAGATAAGCTTCCAAGGATGTTCTGCTTGGGAACAGTGGCAGCTCCAGTTCTTTGCTGGATTTTAACTTGTGCCTTTGTGACATACCAACAGATTTAGAGCTGACATTATAATTGGAGTGCAAATGCCCGCATGTGACTGGAATTAACCAGATGTCCACAGATCAGAGACACAAAGCTAACTGACCTCAGGGTGTTAAGCTGAAATACCCTGAGAGGCACCAAGCAATCTAACCCTGTGAGAGATACTTCTTCAGCCATGAGCTTATTTTCAACCCAACTCAGTTTCGTGTTGGGATACAGAGCAGTGGGAAAATGGGCTTTCGAGTCATTCTGCCCTGAGCTCCAGTCTCTGCTCTGTCCCTTATTAGGTGTGGCTGAGTTATTTAATTTCTCTGATCCTCAGTTTCTAGTACCTTTCTCATAGGATTACCCAATCAGATAAGTGCCAAAATCCAGAGCACAATACATGCTCAATAAATGGTGGGGATTATGCGTGAATCCCCAAGGAGAGGAGATTGCTATTGTACAAATTTAGCATCGCTAAAACTAACAATAGTGTTTTCTAGTTCCATTTGGGAGAATTGGACACAGCCTTGGGGAAAGGAAGTTCTTATTTTACCTTTGCAATCGATTCAGCTTTATCAGAAACACAGGATGTTTAGTTTGTTTAACTAACATTCAAAAAATGGCTAACTAGGAACAAATCAACAAGGAGAGAATGCCTGTCAGCATTTAGTGTTTGGCCCTTTTGGAAACAGGATGGGCACCCTATGCAGGCACGGGGATCTCTTCATTCCGGTTCAGATTCACTTACATTCGGGAAGTTGTCGTATCTATGAAGATCTGCTCCACAAACAATGTTTAAGCACCTACTATGTGCCCAATAGTGAAGGGTTCGGTGACTGCAGAGAAAGAGCACGTGGGTGCCATGGGTCAGGTTTGAACTTGAGGGACTCTAAGGTAAAGCATTTTCAGCCAAGAATCTGATCATCCAGATCGCTCCCTCCCAGAAGAACTGTGCGCCCAGGCTCTTTGGGCTGGCGTTTTCCAAAGCATGTGTGGGCCACCCCTCACCCTTTCCTTCACCTCTCCTTGCCGCATTAGAGCCCCTCAATTCTGTTTCAATTTATTAATTATCTGAGAAGTGGCTCTCAAAATATAATCCCTGGGACACAGGTAAGACCAGTTCCTTAAAGTTTAAAGTGCTCGTGCTTAAAAACCAAGTAATCGCAATACATTTTCTCGACAATATATATGACTGCTTATTTCATGCTACACTTTCAAACCCCATGCAATTTGCTCCTTTCAGCAATATTACTCTACTCCACCAGGGCCCTACTTCTTCCTGTCAAAATTCTGTGTTCTGTAGCAAGGCCCTGATTCCATGAATACTTCCAAAAACCATAGCCAAAGTAAATCTGAAAAGATTTTAGCACTATTATAGCATTACTCGCCCATCAATTTAACTGAAGTGTTGAAATGCTTTTGAGCGACGGTAGCTATACGGCAGCATCCTTTCCCCCTCGAGTTTGTCTTGGGGTGAAAACCACAAAGAAACACCTGTCTAATACCCTCCTGCCAAGACTGTCTTCAGTAATGGTAGTCAGCCGAGTCCCTGTGCAATGCTGTGGGAGAACTGCGATGCAATTGTCACTCATCGAGTTGTTCTGGTTGATATCTGGGCATGGCTGCCTTTGTTTATGGCTCATATTGAACACATTTTAATGATCCAAAGAAAATGACTGCAAGTCGCCACTTCCAGTAAAATATCAATTCTGAATAAATAAATGCAAATGCAACTGTTGGTGAGAAGGGATTGCTTTTGATTTCAGCCTGCCTGATTGACTTTGACTTCAGTGGGCACTCTTGCTAAGGGGTGAAAGAACCATCCCATCATCTCAACTCTGGGAGGTACATGTGCACCCGGTTAGGGCTCTAGGCACCCAATTCCGCCAATACAAGCACATCCTGTACTAGCCAGGAAACACCAGAGATCTGCGTTCTCAAAAACATGCCACTTGCTTCTATGACAACGCTGGAAACATGCAAATATTATACATTTAGCAAAATCCCACACATCAGAGAGCAAACTCCTGGCTGTCTGAGATGTTCGACAGTTTTCAGTTTTATTTGACATATTTCTTTCAAGTCTGGCATTTCACGCAAAAAAGGAAATTGGTTGCCTTAGGCCGATTTTTTACTTCTCAAATCCCTTAAGGGAATTATGCCACAAAGTCCTGAAAAATTTGCAATCAGAACTTTGCTCAAAAACTTTCAATGGCTTCTTTTTTTCTTACACAAAAAGTCCAAATCCTTGAGGCTACACAACCTGGTGCCAATGAACTTTCTGCCCTTCCATATTCGCTGCGACACCCTCCCTTTTCCCAATGCCTTATGCTCCAACTACACTGTGTATAACGGACTGTTCCCTAGAACATCCTGTACCTTCAAATTCCATGCAATTTGCTGCTCTTCCCACTTTACTCCACCCTTCCCCTCAACCCCCAATACCCTGCAAGGTCTACCCTCTCCCTTTAAAAATCCTGTATCAAGGCCCTGATTCAATGAGTCCTTCCATAAACCATAGATCAAAATACATTTAAAAGTTTCTTCAACTATTATAACGTTATCTACAATCTATGTGATATTGCGATTATCTACTTACAGTTTATTCACTTTGAGTTCCACCAGCTCTCCCACACCCCAAGGCTGGCACGTAGTATATACTCATTAAGTGTTCTCATGTGTGCTGGAATGAAATAAGGGTTACAGTTACTATTGTGATGTTACTATTGTGGGCATGTTGATGGGATGGGCAGGGAAACAACCACTGAACTGCAGTGAACCCACTGAATAGTTGACAATCTGTCTTGGGTGGGTGGAGCAAGAGTAGAGGAGGGAACAGGTTTAGGATAAGTAGTTTGATAATGACTAAAAGAAGCATTTTAGGAAAAAATAAACACTAATAGGGAGCCAGGATGGGTTCTTGAGCAAGCTCAAGGCAGAAACAAGCCTTCCTCTTTATAAAGATTAGTGTGGAAGCTGACTGCAAAATTGGTTGGAGGTGACAGAGACTACCAACAGGGAGACAAGTGAGGAGGCCAACCCTGTGTTGTAAGAGGAAGGGGAGGGGGGAAGGCCTAGTTAGGATGCTAGGGAATGCGTGGAGAGTTGAGAACTCCTACAAGGCCGTCAGAAGGAAGAGAGGACTCACTGTAGGAAGGGGGTCAAAGAGGAACAGCCATTCCAGCCTGGGAACTTAGTAGGGAGGCATAGTGACTTGGTTCTTCCTTTAGGGGCTGGGGGGAAAATGTTTTTTCTCAGAACATACTTTCGGATTATGGCCAGACAATTGTATGTCGAATGAATATACTGATCAAAAACTTCTCAAGCATTTATAATCTGCTAAGTGCTGTGAATTCAGACAAGAATAAGTATGATTTCTGTCCTCAAGGAGTGCAGATGCAGGGGTAGGTGTGGTCATGGGGAAGAACAGCAGATATTATCAGGACCTCCGGTGCCTTGAGGAGTGATCTGGAGATGACGAGGTGAAGAGGGCGGTTGAGAATGAAGCCTTTCGGGTACAAACAGAAGCTTGAACAAAGAGGAACAGAGCTGAGAAACGGGAGTTCTAAGTGGGTACTGATGATTGGCGTAATAGGTTTCGCCATCTGTATGCCCGCGCCTCGCTCTGACAGATTGCACTCTGCCCCATCCATCACCCAGCACCTACAGAGCTGCAAAGGAATAGTAAATAACAACAGTGAAAACCCAGGAGTAAGTGGAATCAGAGAACCCAGCTCTGAACAGTGAAAAAGATTGCTGTTTACCTCCTCTGCAGTTGATGTTGAACTATTTAATGGTGCATATACAGACAAGGTGAAAACATCCCGCAGCCGTAACACAAATGCGAGCCCTTTGCTTGTCTGGTAGACGAGGTAGGGCAGGAAAACTGTAGATGGAAAATAAAATTCTGTAAACCTGTATGACAGCCAGGAGCCCCCGTGGATATGAAATACTGATTTAGTGCTGCCGCTCTTCTAAGTTCTGAATAAATTACCCGAATACTCTCTAAGCACCTAGGGGGCTGAAATGTTCAGGGGCAAGACGGAGGATTGCCCATTAGTTATTGAAATCATACTGAGATCCTACTGTCAGGCTCCTACTGTCAGGCACTATGACAAAATCACCGTGGTTGGGACAAACAGCAATAGAGTAAGCGGATGTCAAAACTGGCCTAGCCCTGGCCAGTGTGGCTCAGTTGGTTGGAACGTCATCCCGTGCACCAAAAGGTTGCTGGTTCAATTCCTCGTTAGGGCACATACCCAGGTTGTGGGTTCAATCCCCGGTGAAGGCACATAAGGGAGGCAACCCACTGATGTTTCTTTCATACATCGATGTTTCTCTCTCCCCTGATCCCTCTCTCTCAGATCAGTAAAACATATCCTCAGGTGAAGATTTAAAGAACAAGACCTACAACCAAGTTTTGTTTTGTTTTGTTTTTTGCTGACTCATTGAGGGCAGATGTTCTTCAGTACATCAGATCATCAAAGGTGATATGTCCATCGCATGCATAGCACAGGCACGAACAAGCAGAGCAGCTCCAAAGAAGAGGGTTTTTAAGGAGGGTTATGTATGCCAGGGACATGGGGATGTAAGCTGGGTTTCTATTCCTTCGTGATTCTTCTGATGTTTTGTGTGTTCTAGGTTCCTTTGCCACTGGAATCATATAGTGGTTCAAAGTACAGTTTACAGCATAAGGAAATTCCTCCTGAAACCCCAGAGATCCTGATTTCATTCATCTCAGATGAAACCTGGACATCAGTATTTTCAAAAACACTGCCCAGCTGATTGCAAAGTGCAGCCCAAGTTGAGAAGCAGGCCTGACCAAGAAGAGCACTACTGGAAGGTAGACACGGGGGCCTTGGGTGTTAGCCCCTGCCAGCATGGCCGTGATCCTGGCTCCCACACTCCATGCAACACAACCCCGTGCTGACTCACTCCCACCCAGGCAGGGAAGAATGGGAGCTATAGGCTCTAGAGTTCTGTTTTTCAAACTCTGTCCCAGATGCTCCACTTTCACCTACTCTTGCTCCAAAGGTCTGGCTCCTCCAGAGAGGAGGTAGAGGATGAAGAGGTTGGGGGTAGAACTCTGAGGGTGCTACCTCCAGGGACAAGTCACTTTTTGAGACTTCATGGAGACATGTCAACAGCAGCTGGCAGGCAGCCCCTGACTCTGCAAGCACTGTGAAAGCAGGGGCTAAGCTTTTCTGGAGGTGCACCCCCCCCCTTTATACATGGAGTTCATGCCCTGCAGTGACCTGTAGTCAGTGCACATGGGTGCAAATTCCTGGCATCACTTTGGGAGATGAAACATATCACTCCCATCTCACCTGACCACATGGAGGAATCAAGAGGCCCTCCTGTCTGCATGGGTGGGGCAAGGGCTCCAGGCGGAAGAGTCTGCTATGACTTCTGAAGACATGAGAACTGAGTGTCTTCAACAACAACTTTCCAGGTAAGTTCCATTTATCGTTCTGAACTCTCCTGTCCGTTAGGGGAAAGCCCTGTATGGCATTGCTTTTGCTTCAGCAAAATGCCTCCATCGCCAGCCTTCATTCCCTTATTCTGTCTCCTGTAAGGAAGACAGATGAGTAACAGATAGGCATGTAATTAAAACCAGTGACAAAGTTCCTCTCCTGCTGGATTACAGAAATGCTGGGAGGCCTGGGAGGACCCGAGTGTCGGCCAGGCCACTGTCCTCATTTCACAGGAGAGGGGACAGGGCTCCTAAGAGGAGAAGTGACTCGTCTAAAACGCACAGCTAGTTGGTGCCAGACCTGTGTCCTTTAACCTGCTCTCGGAGGTATAATCTTCCAGACTTTCAATCATCCTGACAGCTCTCCTCTGAAGCCTGTCCAAAGCCCTTCTCAGCGAAGCTCCCGGAATGGGACGCATAACCCCAGAGGGTCTGATTTTATCTGCATCTGAAGAGAAGATTGCTCCAGCGTCCCGATTCGAAGTGTGTATCCCAGCGCCAGGCCTGCTCCAGGGTGACTTCTGACGGTGACCCTCTGGCCTATTCTGACATGCTTGAACACGGTCGCCCAGCTCCTGTGTCCTGGGCCTGCTTTGCTTCCCCAAGGGGAATGATGTCCTTATTGAGTCACAACCCGCAAATGATAAAACCTCATATGTGCAAAACATCTTCCTTTCTGCAAACACAAAGCACCTTTCTAAGACGGCCCGCCTCCTGGAGGATAGGCGGCCAAATGCCAACGTTCTGGACAGACAGATTAAAGGCCGGGGTTGAATTAACTTAGCCTGAATCACTTGTGAAGATAGGTGACACCTATTCAGGAAGGCAGAGAGGTGACTTTATCCAGGGTCAGCACTGAGCCAATCAGTCCTCACATAAGGCACCCCTCCCCCACCAGCCCACACTGCTGGCAGAGGTCTCTCCCTTGACTATCCCATAGTTCTGCCATATTCAATGCCCATGTGCTTTCAACTGCATGGCAGACAGACCAAGCCAGTCAAAGAGGCTTAGTCCTTGCCCTTGCAGGAGTTTGCAATTCAGCAATGTTTAAGTCAGCGGTTCTCTACCTGTGGGTCGCGACCCCTTTGGGGGTCGAATGACCCTTTCACAGGGGTTGCCTAAGACCATCCTGCATATCAGATATTTACATTACGATTCATAACAGTAGCAACATTACAGTTATGAAGTAGCAACGAAAATAATTTTATGGTTGGGTCACAACATGAGGAACTGTATTTAAAGGGACAGAAGGTTGAGAGCCACTGGTAAGTCATCAGGGCATCTGTTTGTTTTCCAGATCTCACCAGGCTACATTCCTATAAATGGGGATTTTAGGCCTTTGAGTTCGGTCAGGATCAACTGCCTGGCCCCATGCTCCCTGAACACTTTATTTTCCCTCACTGCGTGCATCCCATGTCCTGGACTCTCTTAGCTGTCTCATACTTTGCCCTTCTCCCCACCCCCTGGGCTCCAGGCCAGGAGCTCCCGACCTGCAGGGCCTGCATGAAGGGACGGTCCATGCATGTCTGTGGAGTGGATGTGTGCTCCAAGGAAGCCCCCCTGCAGGCCCCCACCCCACCTCTGGGCGCCACCACTCCGCATGTGTCCCAGGAAACAGGGAAGTGCTTCCTATGTGTAGTGTATGGGTTCTGCTGAGGAGTGTGGATGCTGCTCCATCCTCAAGCTCATGAGTCAGTGTTCAACTCCTTCAGAAAGCAGCCGTCTCCAACATCTAGGGCTGAGGCCTCGCCCAGTGTCTCACTGTGAGCACAGAGGGGAGCGGGGAGCAAGCAGACACTAAGCTAACTCCAAGGCCCCACCAAACTGCCCTGGAGGAAGGACACATTCAATATTTATGGGTGATTTGACAATGATGTCCTCATTACCTCCTTAGAAACACTCCGAGGAAGGCTCCTGTCTGCTGCCGTTTCTCCTGCCTCATAATGTCTGACGCCGGACTGCTGAGCGCACAGCACTCTAAACACTGAGCTCCCTTGGGATGGTGCCCAAAGCAAGATTTGGGGAACACAAATATTTCCGTAATTCCTGGGGTGAAGCTACTGCCTGGAAGCCACTGGGGTGAAATCTCAGCAGGGGGCTTGTGATTCCCCAGCCTCTGTCCCCACCCTCCCAGCAGGGAGACAAGCAAAATGAGTGGCCGGCCCTCTGGCCTTCCTCCTCAAAGGGACTCGCGGCTGTTACTGTTGGCCCAGGCCATGACCCTGTGCTCAGGACAGCCGCAAATTCACATGTGAGAAGATCATGTCCCTCCAATAACCCTATGAATAGCTACATTCATCGAGCACTCGTTATGAGGCAAGCTCATCCCATGGTTACCTTATTTAATATGACCCTATGAAGCAGGCACTCTATGTCTGAGTTACAGACGAGCAGGTACATGAATTTCTCAGTGTCACATATTTTAAGTTTAGCACATTGCAGAATCGGAAATTCTAACACAGCGCAGGCCAGGTGCCCACTGGCCATCCTGTTTCCATTTCACAATCCCGCCGCTGATGGCTGGCGGCCTCGGGAGGATCAGGCCAAGGGACCGGACAGCCAAGGCAGCAGGATGGAAAAGGAGCAGAGAGTCAAGAGTTCACATGGAGAAAACCGGAAAGGCAACGTGACTGCTTCATCCAACAGAGGCACCACCTCTGATTAAGCTTCTTCAACAAAATACTGGAGGGTGGAGGGAGGCCCCTGGATGGGGAGCACAGCCTTGGCAGGAATCTGAGATGCGCGTGCGTGCACACACACACACACACACTCACAACAGAGTTCACTGACATCAAAAACACAGACAGCCTTCTGTTCCCTTCTGTTTTCTGGGTTTCTGCAATGCATCCCAGACAGAAGAATTCAATAGACTGAAATTGTAAAACTAAAGTCAGTGGCAAGGCCCAGAGAGTGGAAGCTTTAGAAGAGAAAATCTTTGCTTTTTTCCTGGAAGTACCTCAAGAGGGAAAAAAAAGCCATTTGAAGGAAACTCAGTGCCCGTGAACAACTAGACAATATAAAACATTAGATGTGAGAAAGGATTTGGCCAACTGCAAAGGGCCACACCACAACCTACCCCTCTACCTTAGAACTGACCGCCCCCACCTGGCCCCCACTTTAGCTTATAGACCCCTTTACAATGATTCCTAGAATACTTTTTTGCACATATTTAATATCCATCTCTTCCCTTTTAGACTGTAAGCTACCTAAGGGGTGGTTTGTACATCAATCCTTCATATGGTGACGCAAACATAGGAACTCAGTAATCATTGGCTAAATTAATCCATGACTGTTTATTTTGCCTTCCAATACCAAGCCAAAAGAACATGCTGCTTCTCTGTCTTTGAAATCTGTATGTCAGTAATCATGAACTTGAACTGATGTGAACCTAGATGCTCTTCTTTCAAGGCAGTCATAAATGAGTCCAGGCTTGGAAGTCAGGCAATGCCTGGCTTGGGTTTGATTCCTGGCTCTGCCACTCACTTAACCATTACTTGATTTTTCTGCCCCATGTTCTCATTTGTAAAATTCAAAGTCTAGGAAACTCAGAGAACCATTGCAAGGTGGAGTATTATTCTCAACACAACCGCCATGAGTGAATCTTTAAAAGTATATGTTAGACCATGTCATGCATCTGCTCAAATCTCTCCAATGATTTATCATTTAATTCAGAGTAAAAGTCAAGCTCCTTCCATTGGCCTACAAGACCCTACTGGATCTGGCCCCCACATACTGCTCTCCTCTGCCCAGTCATGTGGGCCTTTACTTGAACTCTTCATGTTCCACCTGCCTGAGGGCCTTTCCATTGGCTGTTCCCTCTGCATTGAGCTGTCTTCTCCAAGATACCCATGCGGCCAACCTCTTTTACTGCTTCAAGTGCCACCTTCTCAGTAAGGCCTACCATTATCTGATTTAAAATTGCAATCTGAATCACAATCCTGATTCATTATACTCTGATCTATTATTTTTCCAAAGAATGTATCCCCGTTTAACATATTCTCTCTTGTTCCCTATGTATATGTGTATTGCCTGGGAGTTTCCTATGCTAATCTCACCAGCAAATCTTTTCCAAGAGCCCTAGTTTTTGTGTGTTTTGTATATTGATGTGCCTAGAACAGTGCCTGGCACACAGTGTGGGCACTCACTCAATAAATGATTTTTGAATGAAGGTAGAGTGAAGTTAGTAAATTCCTGGCACACATAAAAGCCTTGATAATTGTAGCCATCATTACCACCACAACCACCATCATCATCATCATCATCACTACATCATCATCTTTGGGTCAATGGTGCCTCTCTTATAGTCTTGAGGAGAATAAAAGAGTTAAGGTGTATAATGCATCTAGCACAAGGTTGGTACGTAGTACATACTTGATATTTTCTTTTTTCTTCTTTTGTGACTTTTTATGTTATTCCCTTTTTATGGAGGACCCTTATAAAGCAAAATCAACTAGTTAGTGCACATGTAAGTGTCATACAGGATCATTTATAGAGCGCTCTAGAACTGTTGATTAATCATTACTACTATTACCAGCTGAGTATCAAAACTGAATTTATGTGACTTTGCATTCTTTTGATCATGATTCCCTGTATTAAGCAACTTTCTGCTACTTTTCTCTATAAACCATGAAGAAGGAGGGAATAGAGGAGAAGTAAAAACATACATTTTAGCTTTTATAATACTTGGGTTTACATATATATACCAAGGGGAAAAATATCTACAGAAAAAGAAAATTACATTACCAGCTTAAAGTGGAACATTCTCTAGAAAGTTATATAAGCATAAAAATGGTACTGAAGAATACAAAGGTAGACACTTCCATGTTAGTGGCTGGAAATAGACTATAGATGTTTCCAAGCAGCAGAAATATGAACTTTTTGTTTTACCTTTTCTTTTCTCTCTCCTATGTCAGTGTAAAGAAAATCATTTCAAATGTTTAGCGCATGCTGGTGCACAAATCCTGCCTGTGGACAGTTAATACAAAACACAGTAATGGTTCATCTCCCCTACCTCTTGGCAATGCAGAGAATGCACAGAATTCCAAGGTCTAGATAGGACCGACCATCAGGACAAGTTCCTTCTGGCTGTCACGTCC